TATATATATATATATATATAAAATACACATACATGCATATGTATGTTTTAGAAAAATATGTTATGTTTATATATTAAATATATTTGTATATCATAGAAATTATATGAATATAAATATATACATATATACAAGTAAAAAAAAAGGAAACCTTAGAATAAAATTAATAAATACTATAATAGTAAAGACCATAATTAATGCTAAAATAGCACTGATAATTGCCACTCATTCGGGTAATTTATACCTTTGGCAACTAAACAGTTGATGGTAGCCATTGACTTCTATAATATGAATAAAAGTACTATGTAAGTCAATGGCTACCATCAACTGTTTGGTTACCAACGTTATTCAGAATATCTTCTTTTGTTTTCAACAGCTGAAACAAATTCATACAGGTTTGGAACAACTTGAGGGTGAGTAAATAATGACAGAATTTTCATTTTTGGGGGGTTTTAAATTAGAGAATAGAAAATAGAACAGAAAACAGAATCTTTAAAATAGAAAAGGATAAGTAAATATGATTGCAGATGAATAATACATAGGCTGGTATTTTAATATTGCTTTAGAGTTGGTCTTGTTACTACGCAATATGCTTTTACATTTTAATGGGGTATTTTTCTTTGCAGTAGCGTTAAGCTTATTTGCAAGTAAAATAATGCAATAAATCAGTATTTCATATCCATGTATTTATTTATTTGCAAAAGTACCATTGTAATGCGTATACAGGAAGATGTTCAGTCTTTTTTTTTTTGGAACCAAGCTAAATTTGTTAAAAATTTGGACAAATTGAGAGCAGTTCTCTTTTAAATTGTACTTTAGTGTTACAGTGTGTTAATGGGTTCAAGTGCTGTGTGATGTTAGCAGAATTCCTTTTTTTAATAGATTCCCTCAGGTTTATAATGTCAGCACAGACTTAGAAAGTCAAGGAGCCCACCTACCACACTCGCTATATCTTTAGAAGTTAAATAGTTAATGTAAATAGTAATCCAAATGCATAAAAGCATCCAGAGTAAGTGCAATATTGCAAAAAAGGCTTTAATTAAGACACGTATGTCCCTGTTCCCCAGACCATTGGATTGGGCTTTCATAAAACTACAAATAAACCTCTGATGCCTTGATGATGCACCATGGGTGATGCTAAAAATAGAGATAGAAATCACTTTGAAGCTATTTTATATTACACCCATGGAGCTGGGCGAGAGCTTGGAATACTGGGAAGGCCCATGGAGAATTTTCCTCAATGAAACGTCTGGCAGTTCATCTCTCGTTGTGCTTGTACTGATTATGTCATTCTAATGAAGCGATACCCTCGGCCCCGTCCCACCGGGCAGCTCCACAGTAACGGCTGTTAACGCAGAGTTTCCGCCTGACTGCCTGTTGAGTGCCACTCTGAATTACCTATGATCTCACCAGATTAACCCTCTCTTGCATATTACTCTGTACTAAAGTGCAGGTTTACACATGCTGGGCTGCGGTGTGCTCCCGATAGAGGGTGTTTAACACCCATTTGGCCTCAGGACACATGCAGATTAATGCCTTGTGTTATTATAAGACACTGAAAAGTTTCCTGGGATAGGACGGGCAGATTCAAGAGGCTATGTATGCATTTTCTTCTCAATATGCACTACCAGTTAAAAAAAATATTTTATAATATTTGAAGTCACTTGAAGTCTGCTCATCAAGACCGAATTTAATTGCATAATTACAATATTATTAAATATTATAAGTATGAAATATTATTACAATTTAAAATCTCTGTGTATATTTATGTATATATAAATAAACACACATACATGTACAGTATATATTTAATATATAATATAAATCACACACACATACACACACACATATATATATATATATATATGTGTGTGTGTGTGTGTGTGTGTATGTGTGTGCTTTCAAACGATTAATCGTGATTAATCGCATCAAAAATAAAAGTTTTTGTTTACATAATAAATGTGTACTGTGTATATTTATTATG